TATTTAACAAGAACACTCATCTCCTAAACTACTAATGACCTCTCCTCCTCTACAAGCCCTTTAATAAACAGAAATAGTACAGTAAATACTAACCCCTGAAACAAGTTAATATATGCATCAATTGCAAAAGTGCATTTGCTGTGGACATCTGCAACTCGTGAAATGTAACACTTCTATAAATACTGTATTATGTAAAAGCTAGATTCACTACTGTCAATATGGTGGAGGGGAGGATGACGAGAATTTATTTGGCAGCTTCGGTTAGGGGGTGTGGCCCGTGAAACAACAACAACAAAACCTGCATCAACCTGTCGTGAATAGCTGCCAGCCAGCCTAAAAACCCAATGAGTGTTTTAAAGAGTGTGTCACGAAAGCCTGCACGCTGCTTTTAGATTCTGCAGAGATTCAAAACTAAACACAAGCAGTTCATGAAAATTCCCTGAATTTAAAGATTTTAGTCATTTTAGTCATTTTCAGTTTAAACCTGCATTAATTGGTGCTTGGTAATACAAGTGTAATACACATGTCTGCGTCAGTATCAGCAATCATTTCTACCTAGTTGTTTGTGGTCACCACGCACTGCTGAGAACACTAGGTGGTTTTTCAGCTGCTAAATTTTCACCTTTGTGAACAAGCTAATCATAATCCAAAACACAGAGCCAATTATATTCAACTGCCCACAGTGTTATTGGGTATTTTCGTAATAACATACTTGAAACTATGAGCTATGATCTGTATTTAAATCTCTTTTTGGGCCGATCCAAAAATGTCACAGGACAACGAGGCTGTGATAAAAAAAAAAAAAACACTTCTGCAGTATATGTTCACCTAGAATAAACAAGCAGGCACTTGTGCACTTGCTGAAATATTCTTAGTCAGATGTGGTATTCTGTAACACGATGATGAAAATGTCTCTCGCAGCTGCTCAGAAACATCACTCCCCTTTCCCCACGTTTTGATTTGACTTTGCCTGGTTGTTTATCTGCATGTCGTAGCTGCGGATCACTGACACGCTCAGATGCCCTCGGGAAAGTTTAAACCATAACAAAAATGAAATCATAAAGAAAAAAACTGGGGGTTTGTAAAGTAATTTGGCAAGAAATATAATTGCATGACAAATTATGCCATTAGTGAATGAAAAGCGAGGAGAAAAGAGTCCCTATGGCTTTCAGCCTCTAGAGGTTCACGGTGACAGCTCTACCTTTTGACGTCTTCACGGTCAAATTCTCCTTAAATTTACAAACCAAAGATTTCACAAGACTTTAAAAAAGGAATAGGACGACGAGCAGGAAGAAACTAAGCTGTCTACATCCAACATGAAGGGACCGGCTGCTTACGGAAACCTTTTTCACTGAGACATGATACTAATTGACCTGTTTGTGTTCAGAGGCACCTTATCAACTCCCTAAATCAAATACAGTCCACAGTTAATCATGATTAGAAGCTAAGTGCATTAATTGCTATGGGTGACTTGCTTCGTTATCATTAGTGGTCGCCGAGCTGTGTTGATCTTAAGCCAAATGTGGTGGGGTGTCCACACCACACTAAGTAATAATAGGACGACATTTAAAAAAAAAACTGAGAAGGGAGCGTCTAGCATTCACACATTCAGGTGGAGAAAATACACTAAAACAACTACACATTGTTAAAGTGGATTTCTCAAAATCTAGCATGTATTAATTCATCAATAACTGTTCTGAACACCAGAATGATATCTAGAAAGTACAAATGTTGTCTTTGGTGAACAAAAATTCAATTCAATTTACTTCTAATGCCAAATGAAGATGCCTCAAGGTGTTTTATATTATAAGATAAAGACCCCATAATAAATAAATAAATATTTCCAGGTAGGAAAGAAGTGTTTTTGCTCATTATTTTGTTCATAATGATGCTGATAATGCAATCTGGAATGGTACCAGGAAGTTAGTTGCATCTAAATGTTCCAATTTTCATGACATAAATTTATGTTTTATTAATCCAGAAGAGCCATGTTTTGATTGCAAGGGCCACTGCTCATTTTTGTCTAACGTGCACACAGAGATCATTGCTAGTTGGTCTCTTTTTATTAGTTGTTTATAAAAATACATAAAATGAGCTATGTGCATGTAGTCATAACTAGGGCCTCCAGTGAATGAAAGGCTATAGTGACATGCATGTTCTCAGGCCATGAAGCCCTCATGAAGTATGAGCTCGGGGGGTTTAGACAGATTGACAAAATACTGGACTGTGATGCAAAAAAAAAAAAAGCTGTTTATTTGTGCAAATGCTCAATTACTTTAAGAACAAAATGCCCAGAATGTCAACATGTGTAGGAAGCCTCTATCCTGTATCATTTTTCACTTTTGGTGGATAATTTCGGAGCCATTTTCAGCACAACCATCAGCGTGTGCACCCACAGTCATGCCAAAAAGGGAGCAAACAAGCTCACAAATCTATTATCAGACACATAAACAGGAGTGTTTTAAAGGCAGTGGGCTGGCAGTACTGACTGCACTCACAGGCCAGAGTGCTGTCATTTTGCCAGGAATACAACTGCGATAGGGAAGATTAACCTAAGAGATGTAATTGTAGAGGTGGAGGAGTGTGCTTGTGTGTGTGTGTAGACAGTGAATGTGTAAGTGGAGGGCTAGGGTATCTGTGTCTCTGTTTAATTGCCATCATCAGCATGCTCTTTTGTGTGCTCTGCCTCATCAGATCTGTCCGGCTACAAAACAGTGAGTCCTCCTCTTGATGTTGCACACATCTGGACTCAGAGACCGGCATCAATACGACACTAATGGGGCGCCTTTTCTCTCTTTAGCTCATTACGGAAGAATCATCATTTGACTTACTGGGGCTACTCTGGTTGCCAAGGACAAAGTGGCTGTGCTGGGAGTGTTGTATGTGAATACATGAAGGAGTGGATGTATGTACGTATGGATTGGGGAAAGAGATACAAAATGAAGGAGAATTTTGTGCGTGCACAAGCAAAGTATGGGAGATGGCTAAATAGATTTATGAGGCAATAACAAAAGAATAGAAATGAGCGATTGGTGGAAAAAGGAGAGTAGCAGTGGAAGCAAGGATGGAGAAAGAAATTGAGGAAGCAAGGGGTATTAAAGGACAGAATCTGAAGCGATGGATGGATGAACACTGGCAGGAACTGCTACATGCGGATAGACAGATGAAGGGAGTAGTAGATATGATAAAAAAGAAAGAAAGACAGGGATTATTGAGTGGAATGAAAGGAGTGGGTGGATGGATAAAAAGATGGGATCAAAGATGAACAATCTGTTGGATGCAAGGAAGAAGAATAATTTAGTGAGTAGTTTAATGGAGGGATTGGCAGAAATGGGAGGGCAAGAATTTACAGAGCAACCAAAGATGTGAGGTTGAAAAAAGGAGAAGGAGTGGAGGAAAGAATACGTAGGCCACAGCCAAAACAAGGACAACTAATATAAGGAATATGAAAGAAAAAATGGAAATCTCAGCGAATGAACTAATGGACAGGAGGACAGATGGATGCTTGCGGGGATTGAAAGGATGGATAAAGGTACTAACAGAGCTAGGATGAGTGATGCATGAGTTCTCTGATGGATAGAAGAGGTACAGAATGAGCACTATTGATCTATATACAGAAAGATGGATGGAAATGGAGAAAGAGATTGCAAGAACAGGCTACGGAGCAAAGAAGGGATTGTAGATTCTTAATAAGAAAGAGATCACAGCTTAAAGGAAAAGCTGGAGCATACAGTTGGATGTGATGTTAACTTGTCTGCATTTCGCATGTGTGACAGTCATGGTTCAAGTGAATAAGGCTCCATTCACACAGGTTAACAAACAACATGTCGTGAAGGGAAAAATGTGTTTCATAGCAGTTGCTGGAAAATCGGTTGCTAAAGCCCCAAACACACAGCGACCACCTGGCAACCACTGGTTGCCATGGAAAAATGTGTATTCCCAAACTGTGAGGCACAAAACCGGCTTAAGATTGCTGTGGTCACCTGTAGCTTGCATGACTCATGCCGACTTGTCTACAAATACTCGCCAGCTGCTCTCTGAGTGGTAGCGAAACTGGAAAAAGTGCGACAAACCAGAAACAGAGGCCGCTTGTTCCTAATGCAAAAGGTTGCGTCTTTTAAAATGTGTCGGCTGACTTTTACTTTGAAGGTAGGCAATCTCAGTCTCCAGCTTGCGTTGCACTTGCGTTCACGGGTATTTTCAGACAATTCAGAGCTCCTTTAGAGAACTAAGCTATTACAAGTCATCTTAAGGAGGATATCTGCAATCCATGTTATCGTTGTTGCAAAAACTTCACCAATTTCTTCAGTCTCATGGTGCCACTGGAGATCAGGAAAATTATTAGGTCTCATCAACCACATTGTTCAAACAGATAAATAAAGACAATCTGCAGGATGTAAGCTAGAGACCATACAGCGACATGCTCAGGCAATAAAACCTCAGACTACACCTGCAGTTGAAAATATCAGAAACAGGAACAGATATCTTATATAGAGGGCTAGAACGAATATGACACAAGGGTGTAAAGTGGCCAATCACCTTCAAACTTAACTTTTATGTGATTTAATGTGAAACGTTTGCGACTGCATGCGACTATGACAGAGCTCTGATATCACTGTATTGGCAAAATCAGTTCAACACACACA